GGCATCTGGGACAGCCAGCACCCCTCACATTTTTCCCTGGCATCGTGCTGAGCTCTTTTTCTTCCTTCTGAGGCAGGGCCTGACCAGCAGTGTCAGTGTCAGGCTTCGTGGCAGGTGGATGAGCTGGGAAGTGGCTGCATTGCCCAGCCAGGGCAGGACCTGCAGTACGCAGGGTCACACTCATCTGCCCCCCACTCAGCTGCTCAAGGTTCCACACAGAACTCCAATCTCCCCAACCTCCTCATCACCCCCCCCATTGAGCTCCTTCCCTTGGATCTTTGCCAAGCACCCCGGAGGAGGGTCAGCCTGGGGCTGTGCTGGGGTCAGTCCCCCCTCAGAGGCCTTCCAAGGTGCTGCAGGACACCCACGCACTCGGTGCACAAACAGCTTGTCCAAGCCCAGAGCAGAGCCAGGGATGTGCAGAGCAGAGCCAGGGATGTGCAGAGCAGAGCAGAGCCAGGACAGGCAGCGTGGTGTCACTCCAGGACACAGCGCTGGCCTCCCCTGCTCCCTGCCGAGGGTGGGATTGGGTGTTTTCCTTTTTTTCTCCTTTCTCTTCTCCATCTTGGCTGCCTGGGAGCACGGGGCAGAGCTGAGCCCTGCTCCCCTGCACAAACTATGAGCCAGGGGCAGCGTCTCATGCTGAGGTTAGAGCTGAGTGTCCCTGGAGCAGAGGGTGTTTTTATGTTTGTCCCTGTGTGCTCACCAGGGCTCTCAGCTCCCTGTTGTCCCCTGGACCACGGGGTGTATGTCTCTGTGTGTTCACCAGGGCTCTCAGCTCCCTGTTGTCCCCTGGACCACGGGTTGTTTGTCCCTGTGTTTGTGTGTTCACCAGGGTGGGTTCTCAGGTCCCTGTTGTCCCTTGGAGCAGGGAGTGTTTTTATGTTTGTCCCTGTGTGTTCACCAGGGCTCTCAACTCCCTGTAGTTCCATGGAGCAGGGGTTTTTCTGCCTGTGTTTGTCCCTGTGTGTTCACCAGGGTGGGCTCTCAGCTCCCTCTAGTTCCCTGGATCAGGGGATGTTTCTGTGCCTGTCCCTGTCCCTGTCCCTGTGTGTTCACCAGGGTGGGCTCTCAGCTCCCTCTAGTTCCCTGGATCAGGGGATGTTTCTGTGCCTGTCCCTGTCCCTGTGTGTTCACCAGGGTGGGCTCTTGTCCCTGTGTGTTCACCAGGGCTCTCAGCTCCCTGTAGTTCCCTGGATCAGGGGATGTTTCTGTGCCTGTCCCTGTCCCTGTGTGTTCACCAGGGTGGGCTCTCAGCTCCTGCCTCCTCCAGTGCTGGGCACCAGGCAAGATCATTTGTCCCTGTGTGTTCACCAGGGCTCTCAACTCCCTGTAGTTCCATGGAGCAGGGGTTTTTCTGCCTGTGTTTGTCCCTGTGTGTTCACCAGGGCTCTCAGCTCCCTGTAGTTCCCTGGATCAGGGGATGTTTCTGTGCCTGTCCCTGTCCCTGTGTGTTCACCAGGGTGGGCTCTCAGCTCTTGCCTCCTCGAGTGCTGGGGATGGGCAGGATCCATCCTGCCAGCACTCCTGACTGTGCTGCCAGCTGGCATTTTGTACCCAGCCTGGCTGTTTTGTCTGAGTCTCCAGCTCCTGGAGACAGGTGAATGAGGGCAATTCCCACATTTCTGGTGAACAGAGGGCTGTGCTGCCTCTGGCTCCCAGGGCTGCTGGGGGATGCAGTGGCAGTGCAGAGGGACAAGCTTTGGGATACAGCCCTTGGCATGTAAGACATGATCTCCTTGTGCAGGCACAGCTTCAGTAGCACCAGCATTCCTCTTCTTTAACCACTTGCCATGGCAGCACTTCCAGCTGCTGCAAAACTCTTTGGAGTGACTTTGTTGCCCTGCAGATGGGAGTTGGGGTGGGATGGGACAGCCGAAAGCCTCATTTATTTAACTGCCCAGAAGATAATTCTTAATCCCTGCAAACCCTACAAGTTGGCTTAACTGGGTGCTCAGAGGAACCTCGGAGCAGTTTCCTTTTCCATCCCCATTTCCTTCCCCACCCAGCTTCAGCAGGCAGGATCAGGCCAGTCCACACGAGCCTCTGGACCTGGAGCTCAGCTTTTCAGAGCTGGAGCCTTGGTTTGGGCTGAGCTCAGCCCCCCCAGCTGCTCGGAAGCCTTCCTCCCACGCAGCCCTCCCTAGAGGCTGCACAGAGCCAGGAGCAGCTGTGAGCAGCCTCTCCCCACACTGGGCACCCGTGCCGGTCCTGGGGCCGTGTTCAAGGTGCTGGGGAGGTGGAAAGAGGATGATTTCTCATCCCAACCCTTCCTCTCCCATTCACTGTTGCTCAGGAGAAGCTTCCCCCAGCCCCTGGGTTGGGCAGCTGCTCATGGCAGTGCCCAAGGGAAGACAGGAGCAGAGGCTGAGGCAGATCCAGCCCTTAGTGAACGGCTCAACCTCAAAATCCACATCCTCAGCCATGGCAGGGACATGCAAAAGCAGGCAGGTGGCACAGGGCTGTGTCTAAAACCAAACAGCTCCTGCAGGACCTGCATCTGGGAACTGTGAAGTGGTTTTGGTTTGTAGCAGCACAACCTGTCCTTTTCATTCTGAGAAAGGAGAAGTTTTGCATCAAGCCCTGCGTGCTCCCAGTAACCCCAGGGCCACCATCTCCCCATGGCACTGGGGACCACCTTCCTACAGCAAAGGGCTGCTGGGCTGGGGGCAAACAGCCTCTGTGGTGTTACACCCCCCCTGCAGCCCCTTCCTGCTGCCTGCCAGGGATGGATGATGTTCTGGGGGCTGAGTTTGGATGGGTTCAGGCATCCTTGGGAGCTGGAGGGCTCCTAAAGCTGGAGGAAGGAGCTGAGCTCTCCCAGGACTGAGTCTCCCTGCCTGTGCTCCTCAGAGCAGGGCTCCTGCATACCTTCTCTGAGACCACAGCAGAGCTGCAAAGCACTTCCTTTTACCAGGATATTTATTGCTAAATATATGAATCTGGGAGCCTGTGGAGCGTGAAATTAGGAACAAATGTAAAAAGGAGGTCTAGACAGGAATTGTTCAGCTTATGGGCCTCCACATGCTCTGCTTTCCTCCCCCTTTGCACGCTGGAGGGTTTAAAGCTTCCAGGTATGCAGCTTTAATCAGAGAAGTATGTTTGGGGAGGGGAGAAGGGAGAAATGCAAATGGTCCAGCTCCGGAGGGAGCAGTGGCTGCGATGCCACGTCTGGACAGGAACCATGGAAATTGGCTCAGTGCAGCCCTGGCTTGTGCCCCGGGGCTTTAATTAATGGCTGGAAAAGCCAGAGAGCCCTCCCTGGCAGAGCTCTGCCTGCCACCTCCCATCTCGGGCCGGCAGGGAGATGCTGATGCTCTGTGATGGGTGCAGCTCCCATCCCTGAGAGCCTGCAGGGTTGAGTGGCCACCCCAGAGCCAGGCTCCTGTCCCAGCCCTGCACCCCCTGCCCTTGGCTCTGGGGCAGCGTGGGGATTGCAAATGGGAGCAGCCAAGGACCCAGGGATGGGCATTTCCAGCTGGCACCTGGCCCAGCCAGGCGCCTCCATCCCTCTTTAAACAGCAGCCAAAGTTTCTAAATCACTAATGTGTCATTTGCAAACCCTTCCCATGGCTGTGCTGCTCCCCCTGAGCCTCCTCAGAGCGTTTCCCCCAGGAATGAGGGCAGGATTTGGCCCAGCTCTTGCCTCGGGGCCGTGGGGTGTGAGAAGGGTGTGAGAAGCCGTGGGGATAAATTCCCTTCCCTCCTCCCGAGCTGCTCAGCAGCAACATAAAACGTGATGCTGCTTTATCCATTCAGCACTCACCCAACTTTAACAGGACATTAAGTGCCTGAAAATATGGCACAGGTTTGTTTTCTTTGGAAGCAGGTTAAATCCCTGACAGATACAGTTGCTTTTCCTCGGGTGCTGAAGTAATTTGGGGCTGGGGTGGCTGGTTTTTGCTTTAACCTGATAGCACGAGCTAGGAGCCAGCTTTGTTAAAGCACTTGGAGAGTAGGTGGTCAGGGTAGGATTTCTCCCTTAATTTATGTCTCTCCTGCTGCTCCCAGCCTGAACTAAAATGTTGCTGGAGTTTTATTTGTGCCAGTTTTAGTGCCACTGTCTCCTAGCTGCTGGCAGGTGTGTGAGCAGGCAGGTACCCTGTCTCCCCAGCATCATTCCTGGGGCACAAAGCTGTGTCTGATCCTGGGGTGGGGAGGAACTGGAGGCCTCCCGTGAGCATTCAAGGCAGGGATGCTGAGAGCAAACCCCTGCTGGTGTTGCAGGGCTCGTGCTGTGCAAGATACACAACATCTGTCCTCTGGAGAGCCCAGCAGGGACAGGGACAGAGGGACAGGGGCAGGGACCTTCTGCTGCTCCCTGTGCTGTGCCAGCTCCCAAGTGGCATTCCAGGAAGAGAAGAGTGCTGGTGGTACCCCAAAATGCAAGCTGAGCCACAGATCTCTGTGATGTGCACTGACAGCTCACCTGGGGCTGTCAAACATCATCCTGGGGTGCCCCCAGAGCCCCCCAACACTGTGGGTGAAGTGGAGGATCCTGGGCAGGTCCTGCTCTCAGGGAGGGCAGCACCCAGCTGCCTGCAGTCATTAAAGGCTCACTTAGCAGCCAAGGTTATTCCAAATTCAAATACCACATTGTTTTCATGGGGAAAATGGATTAGAGGCTCAGAGAAAAATGAGTGCAGATCAGAAATCCTTATTGCAAGGCTCCTTCTCCCATCATTTCTGCCACCAGGTAGGAGCTGGGAGAGTGCCCTTGGTGCCTGGTGTTATTTCCCTTGGCTCCCCCTCCTGAGGGCAGATGTGACCCCAGAGCTGCTTCTCATTCACTGCATGAAATTTTTTAACCCTTACACCTGCAAGGTGGCATTTTTGGTGACTCCCTGGTGACTTACCACAGCTGCCCTGTGGATTCTGATTCTGCCCTCCTGCTTTTTAGCCCACTTCAAAAGGGGGCAAGCAGAGAGTTTGGGGCTCTGCAGCCCATCCCCTCACCCCGTGCACTCAATTTTGCAGGCTGTTAATGGAGAAGAGGGCGGATGACAGCCGGGACCGTGGTCATCACAGGTGGAATATTAGCGACTGTCATTTTACTCTGTATCATCGCCGTCCTCTGCTACTGTAGGCTCCAGGTAAGGCCGGGGGGTGCCTCAGCGGGGAGGGCTGATGGCCTGGCAGCTCTGGGGGTGCCAGCTGAGCCCCTTCCCCTTTCAGTACTACTGCTGCAAGAAGGATGAATCCGAGGAGGACGAGGAGGAGCCCGACTTCGCCGTGCACTCGCACATCCCTCCGCTGCACTGCAACCGCAACGTAGTGCTGACCAACGGCCCCTCGCTCTACTCCTCATCCCCCTTCGCCAAAAAACCGGCCCAGAGCCGGCCCAGCTGCCCCAGCTGCGCTCCCTACGAGCCCCCAACCTCCTTCCTCCAAGAGCCCCCCACATCCTTCCTCCAAGAGCCCCCCACATCCTTCCTCCAAGAGCCCCCAACCTCCTTCCTCCAAGAGCCCACCACATCTTTCCTCCAAGAGCCCACCACCTCCTTCCTCCAAGAGCCCACCACATCCTTCCTCCAGGAGCCCCCCACCTCCTTCCTGCAGGAGCCCCCCACCTTCTTCCTGCAGGAGCCCCCCGAGGAGCTGCACAACGGGGGGGACAGGGTGAGCTACAAGACGGTGAGCCAGGAGGACCTGGCGCTGCCCGTGTCCAACCTGCAGGCGCTCAACCCCAACCGGCTCTCGGCCATGCGGGAGGCGTTCTCCCGCAGCCGCAGCATCAGCACCGATGTCTGAGGTGCCGCCGGCACACCCAGCCCCAGGGGCATTGGACTGGTTAAAACCTAAACAAAACAAACAAAAAAAAAAGTGAATGTATTTTGACGGGCTGGTGGTGTAAAGGGGGAGCAGAGCAAACTCAGGTGAGGAGTGTGGGGGTGAAGCTGGAACAGGAGGTTTCTCACTGCTGTGTTGCTGCTTGGTTTTTTCTTTTATAAAGAGGATTTAGATACTGAGCATCCTTTTCTACAGAGGAGCTGCCCCTCCTCGCCATTGGGCCGGGGGTGATGAGCAAATGATGGGGCTCATGGGTGGCTGAAAACGGCTCGTGCTGCAGGTCAGCAGCAGCTGCCAGGATACACTCAACCACCCCAGAATGTCCTCTGGCCAAGCAAGGCTGTCACTGCCCACCCTTCTGCCAGCCTGTGCTGCAGCCGTGGGGGTGGCTGCGGGTGTGAGCCCTGCAGCATTCCCAGCCCATCCCACTGCTCCAGCCAGGCACAATCCCAGGTGCCAGGCACAATCCCCTCAGGGTTAGGATGGTGGCTGTCCCTGGAGCCCCCCAGAGTGGCCTCATGGAGCCCCTGAAGGATGTGGGCTGGGGTGTAAAACCTCTGCATTACTCAGCGATGGAAATAACACACAGCACACCTTGGGATGGAGGAATATCCCTGTGGATAATCAACATCCCTGCTCCAGGTGGTGCCACACACAGCTCCTGACTGAGGGCTCTGTGGCACAGGGGTCACTGTGTGTGTGCCCACCCCTTGCATGCACATTTTTACACACATTTATTTGTTTGGGAGAGGTTTTTTAAACAAAAATAAAAGGAAAAAAAGGACACTTTTCCCCCAAAAACGCTTTTAAATTTAAACAAAACCTGCAATTTGCATTTTCCACGGAGCCATTTGCCATGGCTGGGCAGCCTGGCTGTGGCACCAGCTCTGTCCCACGCTGGATGCAGCAGGGACAGACAGCCCTGGGGCAGCAGCAGACACAGAGCTGGTCCTAGATGTGCTGCAGAGGAGCCCTTGGGCTTACTCAGAGATTTGGGAGAGGAATTGCAGCACTGAGGGGTTCCTCCTGCTCTGGTTTCTCCTGGCTGTCTCCACTCCTCTCCTCCGACCTCAGCACACTCCATGTGACAGAACTCCCTGTTTCTCCTGGACTGGGCATTATTCAGGTTAAAAGCATCACCTGGGGATGGCTGGTGAGGATCGACTGGCTGCACAGAGACTCAGATGGCCTCAGGGCTGTGCTCCAGGGGGATTTTCCTTTTTAAAGATGTTCTGGGAAGATGCAGCCGTGCCTGCAGCCCCCGGGGGCTCACGGACACTGTTTGGGCTGGGTATTTTACTTCAAACCACGAGGGCTTTTAATTCCACAGGAAACCTTTTGAAGTACAAGTCAGTCTTTGCAAATGAATATCTTTGACTTTCTGGGGGGGTTCTGTTTGGGGTGGGGAGGGCTGGGGTTGTTTTCCTACGTGTTTAATATTCCGGGCTCGGTCCCTGTGGCCCAGCACATCCCAGAGGGATGCAGCCACTCAGGCCTTGTCCCCATGTACAGTTCTCACTGGGGTTTGTTCCCATGCCTTGAGCCCTTCTCTTCCTGTTTTTTGTGATTTCTCCTACCAGCCTTCCTTTCCTCCTTTTTTTCCCTTGTTTCTTTCCCTTGTAGCTTGGAAATTCAGCACATGGTTGGCTTTCACTAACCCTCACCTGGTGATCTGTTGTACAGGACTTTGGGAATCTCAGATTTGGGGAGGGAAAAAGTAAAAAAAAAAAAAAGAAAAAATAATAAAAATAAATAAATTACTTTGACATGGGGTTTGAGGTTTTTTGTTTAATATTTTTTTTTTTTTTTTTTTTTTTTTTTACCCCTGCATCTGCAAATTTGGGGTGATGTTTGCAAAGCACTCAGGAGCTCCCTGCTGCTGAGGGAGGGTTCCAGCAGCACTTGGGGTGCACAGAGAAGTTTGGGGGATGCTAAAGAGCCTTTGGCTCAGTGTCTGGGGGGTCACACCAGTAAAAACACAGAGCAATAACCCCTTGGGAGCTCAGAAAGGCCTTTTTCTTACTGGCACCATGTGAAATCTCTCTTTTCCCAAACCCCTGAGGAGCTTCAGGGCTGCAGCTTCTAAAGCCTCAAAACTCCAAAGGGCCCCCAAAAGTCCCAAAATCCCCCCACTGTTGGGACTTTTCCTTGCATCAGTGCCCAAGGAGCTGTGATTCTCCTAATTTAAAGCTGCTCTGCCTCCCCTGGGCACCAGCAAATCCCCAGCCCCAATTGCAGTGTTCCCAGCACTCCACTACAAACTGGAGAATAAAACAAAATACCACCATAAATATGACAACTTTATTAAAATATACATATGAGTACAAATTAATGATTATATGGATAAAGTTCACTGTCTGTAAACAAATATATTAAAAAAGAGCACGTCTTTTTTGTGATATAAAGTGCAGTTATGTTTCCATATTATATACAATATGTCAGCATCGGGGGGGGGGAGGGGGTTTGTAAGGACTATGAAACTAACATTTGATTATAAGATAAAATTCTCTGAAAAAGTATACACCTACATATTACAAAAAAAAGGGCTGGAGTTCATTTAACAAACGAGGATCAGCTTCCCACCACGTTAATTCAGCTAACGAGAGCCTGCAGGCCTCGGGATAAATCAGGAGAGAGGCACCAAGCCCATTTTGTGATGGGAAACTTGCACTTCCCAGAGTTCACACCTTCCCCTCGCCAACCCCAACCTCGCACCGAGGGAAGAAACAGGACAAGAGCTTGGGTGTAGCTGGATTTTGGGGGGGGGAGGAATCAAATATACACGATTTCTGTACAGCTCTGAGCCCGGGGGGCTCCCAACGTCCAGCGGCCAGGAGAGGAGTTCTGCTTCGGTGGGGACACCAAAACCAGGCCAAAAGCATCCTTGTCAGCAGTGTGGGCAGGTGGAAGGTGGAGCCCTGGCTCGGGCAGCCCTGCCCTAGGAGTGGGGAGCGCGGCAGGAGCGGCAGCAGGCTTTGCTGTAGTACCAGTGGCTGCACAGGTTCACCTTGATGGCCAAGGCACAGTTGGTTCCTGCCTGGTCCTGGCAGCTGTCGTCTGCAGGGAGAGAGAACACTCACGCTTTCAGCAGGCTGAAAATATGGCACGGGTTTGTTTGCTTTGGAGGCAGGTTAAAGCCCTGACAGATACAGTTGCTTTTCCTCGGGTGCTGAAGTAATTTGGGGCTGGGGTGGCTGGTTTTTGCTTTAACCTTTGTTAAAGCATTTGGGGAGTAGGTGGTCAGGGTAGGATTTCTGCCTTAATTTATGTCTCTCCTGCTGCTCCCAGCCTGAACTAAAATGTTGCTGGAGCTTTATTTGTGCCAGTTTTAGTGTCAGTCTCGTAGCTGCTGGCAGGTGTGAGCAGGCAGGTACCTGTCTCACAGGGTACCCTGTCTCAAGGCATGGCATGGAAAAGAAAAAGAAAATTAACAACTGTGAGCTCATGAGGTCATTTTCCTCCCTACACAGCTCTAAACACCACAGAATGAGCAACAACATCAGCCCAGCTGTGGCTGCCACCTCCCTGACATCCCCTGGAAAACACCATGGAGCTTCTCCAGAAATGTCACTGTCAACCTGGGCAAAGGCATGAGCAGGCTGGTCTGTTCCTTCACACCTGGCCAGGCTTGGGGAGGCTCACTTGGTCCCAGCCCTGAAGCTCAATGTCCTTGCTGTAAAACAGAGCTGCCCAGGGGCTGCTGGAGCCACCAAGGCACTGAGCTGTCCCCAAGTCAGGGGCTTCCCCTGGTAGGAATTCACAATTCTATCCCAAAGAGGCTATTTGAGAAAGGGAATGGATGTAGCAGTGTCACATCCAGAGTTAGGGGCAAGTGAGATGCTGGAGAAAGGGATGAGGTTACTTCAGCATTCTCCCAGCTCCTTTCAGTGCAATATTTTGCTTCAAACCCATAGTATTCATATTTTAATATATATTTTTTAATTAAAATCCATGGGATGCATGAAACCAGGTTGCTCCCAGGGCAAGGTGGCCATGAGGCAACTCCCAAGCTCCATGGATCCTAAGGGAATGGGCAGCTGACAGCACCCAGAACTGAGCCAGGAGCTGGCCCCAAATCTGTCACCCATTTTCATGCTTTTCTCCCACTCTGTCCTCATTCCCAAATCCTATTAAAGGATTAGAACTGTGTGTTTGCTAAAGATCACAGGGACTCTGAGCCAGCAGACGAGTCAGATAACGAGATAGTTACAAATCCCCCAGGACACCCGAGGACCAAAAATCATTAAAATAATGGCACAGACAGAACTTCCTCAGCTCTAGCTGGAATCTTACAGAAGCAGCACCCAAATCAGCTCTCCAAAGGCCCCTTTTATCTTCAGGTCAGAGCATGATTCTTCCTCTTAATTTATCTCCAGAAGGAGCCTGTGCATTACTCGGGCACAGAGGGAGATGTCCCTGGCATCCTCCCTGGCATGATAATCCTAATGGGGCAGGGGAAGATAAGATGCTGGCGGTGCTGCTGGAGGGATCCATGGAAAATCAAGGCTGTGGGGCTCACCTGGGGGCTCTGTGGGGCAGGGCTGCAGGTCACAGGTCTGTTTGCCCACCGGCTTCACCAGCGGGTCACAGCCCCGCACGATGTCCTTGCCCTGGTAGCACTTCACATCCCGCATCCTCACGCCGATCCCGCAGGTCTTTGTGCACTGGGGGACAGAGAGAGGGGGTGAGGCAAGACTCTGCCATCCCAGGGGACTGTTCTGAGCCAGAACCTGCTCACTGGAGATGTTAGGGCAGGAGGAGGATGTCACATCCCAGTGCCACACCGCTGTCCCCTCGCGCTGTCTTTGCTGCCAGCACCATCAGTTCTGCCCAGGGGTTGGTGGATGTGGTGCCATCCCCTGGCTCTGACATTCTCCCTCCTGCTGCTGCCCTTCACAAGGGACCACAAACAAGCTGGCCCAGTCCAGGTGATGCTCTGCAGGACATGGGTGGCCATGGAA